GAGAAAAACTTTTCGGCCAACTCTCCGACTGCCTGGACTATAGATCGGCCGACCTGCCATCGGATGGTCAACATTCCTATGGTTATCTGCGTGGCTAGACCGGACGCGACCGTGGTCCAATTCACGTGACCACGGTGTTTGGAGAATATGAATCCGACGAGGACGAAAACACCAAGTCCAGCCAACGGCAACAGCCTGTGCCGGTTGTTTTTTGTGTCGAAGAAAATGAATAAGACGAACGACCCTAAGAAAGTGCACAACACTCCGATTCTGTATGAGCAAAACACAATAATATCATATAAGACGCTTTAGTTATTTCATATTATTATTTGTAATAACTATAATAAGTTATACAATTATATAACTGCCTACTAATAAAAACAAGGACTTGCAAAGCGTAAGGAAGGAATGTTTATACAGACTTGGCAATGCTTTAATTCGGTGGATATTATATTATGGCAACGTTTGAGGCTATTTGACGAACGATGTGTCAAGATAGTTATAAAATATAATATAGCCATCTGCAGAGGGATCTCGTGATATGTACTTCAGTGATACAAATTAAAAATACAACTATCAATTATTGCAGTAAAAGTTTTGGTATTTGTTTGTTATGTGCTTTACCGTGACCTATCGTATTTAGGGAAACGATAAATGGTGAATTCTAAAAAAATATTTACAAGTCTAGACTTTTAATGAACAAACAACAAAACTATTTGAGACCTTTGGCATAAAGAATACAATTAATTTTGTTTAATCAGTGTAAGCATACAAAGATAAAAAAAAACAATTAAATCATTACTGTAAACACAATATTATATATAATTTACTCGGACTCTTAAATCAAAATATGTCAATACTATCCGATAAGAAAAAAAAAATGTATTAAAATGTTTATTTTGATAAGTTCGGTTAAACGTTAAGCTTTTGGGTTCATTAAAAAACTCAAAATATTACGATACGAAATGGTTTCTTCAACAAGAGTGAAACTGTGGTGATGAACCACGCGGATATTGTTGTTTTATCTTTTTTTCGGTATTTACATTTACGTCTAAGTCTGTGTAAAGTTTAGACTACTATATTGAAAAAAATTTAGTCGCATATTAGTACAATTTTCACTTGCACATTAGTTACTATTTTCAAACGGCTAAGTTTACCGCACGGAAACAAATTCGACCGTGACCAATTTGACAATAAATTGAGTAATTGTATACTATGTTCATTGCACATGGGTATAGTGTGTCTAAATTCAAAAACAACACTTGATGCTTTTGTACGATGACCTTGCTTTTGAATTAGGCTGTTTAACAATGTCCCGGGTCACTGCAGTAATAGAACAGGTTACCTACACATTTAGGAAAAACATTTTTCTTTTTCTTTCTTTACACTAGTAGCACTAAACATTTTTTTCACATCTTTAAGGCGAGATTTATTATGTTTAGTTGTATTAATTATTTCGTATTATAAGTATTACAAAAATATGACCTTACTATAATAGGACAATTAATTATTCGCTGCATAAACTCAATACAAATCAGCGGGTAAGGTGCGGGAAAGTTTACACTTCGGAGTAGGTATAGTTGATGACAGCAACGATTAACATAATAACCATATTACACCGATGGACCATAAAAAAATGATTATAAAACCATATAAAATAATAGTTAAGTATATTCTATAGTATTACTTCAAGTGCTCGTGTGGAAATACATTTACAAGTTTCCCGGCCGGTATCAACGTGAACAGGAATTTGAATGGCTGCACACCGTAATAACAGGTGGCCAAGACGATCAGTAGTCCTAGTCCGTTTTTCCAACCGATGTCTTTTACGTCTGCAACAAGTAGATGATGCAATTGTCAAAAACTTTATCGTTATTGTATATTATAAGCATGTTAGTTACAAGGAGATTGTTTTAAGCACGTTCACCCCGATTTCTCTAACTGACAGTACATTTAATCAAATTCTGATCTTTAGAATGTACCTATCTAAGGACCATATTTTCAAAAATTTGGTATTTTTTGTACCACTTAAGGAGTTCCCTGTGGCGGTACAAACTTCTATTTTTCAAATGAGAACTCAACTTTTCACCTCAAACTATTCAACGAGTGATTTTCTTGAAAATGTTGAAGGACCTAAATAAAAATTCTAATGGATATTATTTCAGGGTCATTAAAATGTTTATACTAAGGACAATAATCCTTAAAAATTATTGTGAAAACTATAAGTAACATTAGATGTACTGTTTATTATACTTGGACCGTTTTTACAAATTATTGTTTATTTTATACTGACATTTTAAAATCATCCTAGTCCCCATATACATATATTATATACTTAACCCATTACAATAGACATTGTCCATAGTGCACAAAGTTATATATAATTCAAAAACTACTTGTTGAAATCGTGATTAAGATACATCAAAATTCTTAACAAAAATATTTTCTGAATAACCAAAAGTGAAAAAGGGGAATTCCTATTTGAAAAACAGAAGTTTGTATTTTTACAGGACCATCTTAAGTGAAAAAAAAATCTCAAGTATTCTGAAATATGGTATTCAAGTGTATTTAAAAATTAAAAAAATTAAAAATTGAATTTATACATAATTTAAGCAAAAAATAGGGTATGATTAAAAAAATCACATTGTATATGGCATTATATTATGCAGCGATGCCGAACTCTATAAAAATAATAATAATATTAAAATAATATTAGACCTGTGACCTGTCTACAACTATACCACCACCAATCCTATAATTCCAGCTATTGTTTTAATAACGCCTGTTCGTGGGGCTCGGCGCCATTGCAGATCATATTATGTAATTAGGCTTGTTCACCTACCGCTCAAATACCAATGGTTGATGGCAGCCAATATGTAAGCCAAGACCACGGCGTGACACAGACATTTCACCGCTAATTGTTTGTTGTTGCTTATCAACAACCGTGGAAAACGCCAATTAGTGGTCTTTTCAAATCCTTCTATGCACGTCTTCGGATGAGTACCCTATAAAATAATAATAGGTTTGCGAATATTGTTTATGACTTAAAAAAAATTTAAAACACTTAGTATAAGATACAGCTGGAGTAAATAGTATTTATATTCAACATGGAAAATATCGAAAAACAAATCGATATCATTTATTGTGCCACATTGACGACAGGAATGAAACTAAATTGTAAATCGTATCGTTAAAACGTAGGTACAACTACAAAGATTAAAGGACTTAACGTTTCCTCCGAAATAAATATAATACCATCGTGTTTTGTAATAGACACATAACCTAACCTAACCTAACCTAGACACTTTTTTTTATCGGTTTATCAATTATAATTTTACATTAAAATCACGATAGGTACCACTACGATATGCATATTAGTGTAATACACTATAAATAACACTATAAATTACTAATAATTATAAAAACATATATCAAGCCGACATCGATACCACACATTTGGCACAGTTTACTTAAGCTCATCTGCATGTGTTTTTTATTGTGACATTTGTCAAAATGATAAAAAATAAATAAAACAAAAATATTATGGATTAATAATATATTTTCTTGTGTGCAATATTTTGACAATTTTAACCTTTTCAGTTCTAAGTAAAGCCCAAACTAATTAAAACCGTACATAAGTTGTACATGATTGCATAATAGTATTATATAGTAAATCAATAGGCAGCATGAATATTTATTTGGTCATACGTCTGCAAACACGTCGGTTTAGGAATTATGGAAATACATGACTACACGTTATTACGTTAATACTAGAGGTTGTTTTTATATTGCTCCAATCGGCAATTATGAACGACAAAAATAACATCATAATAAATAGTATAATCGCCTATGCGACCCGGCTGCAGAAGTTTTTTTTTCTAAAATCTAATGTAGAATTACAAATTAATTGTATTAAAACATACGTGAGTTTCGAAAGAGATAGTAGTGCAGTCTTGGTTGTTTTCGTCTACATTTGTTTTATTATCTGTATTCGCCGCCATTTCCATGATAAAACTGCAGAAGAGGTAGTACTATAAACAAAAAAACGAAAAACTAATAATAAACTATTCGTAAGCAAGATGTTGTACCTAAATAAATATTAGGTAATTAGATATTATAACAGCATAATATCACGAAAAATGTAATAATAGTTTTGTATTATAATTGATACTGTTCACATCATTAATGATTCAACAGTGGTAGTACTTTGTCGAAATCAGTGTACAGTTGTACACCGTAAACATATAAAGTTATAATATTCAAATTCGGCGTTAAAAAATTGGTGGGGATTTCGTAAAATGTTTTCCCCTCCGAAAAAAAAAAACTGGCGAACAGTTCTGTGACGCAAAATTTTGGATGACCATGTAAGCCAATATTATCTATACCGAATACCGAGTTCTATGTACATAGATACACGTGTTCTATCGATTTTAGTAAACACTATCAATTTTAGAAAGTTCAGTGATAGTACATGATTTAATCAATTTTGTATGACTCGTCTGACGAGTGATATAATAATACATAATATATAAAACGCAAGGACGCTTCATAAATAATCATAGTTTTTAAGCAATTTGTTGGTAATTTTATAGTTTTTAATCGGTGTAAAGGCTCAAAATAATTCCCATTCTGAAATGCTAAAATGTTTTTTTTTTAATTTTAAATAATAATTATAACTATTTTGAGAAATTTTATACTAAACATTAACACATTTTTTTCATAATAATAATATAATACCGTATTAGGGGTATTGTTTCATCCGTATAGTGGAGTATTCGTTTATTATGTAGAATACGTTTACTATCGTCTATATTATACTGTTTATCAAATATTTTAATATAAGCTGAAATTATTCTTATAACTGAGTTAGGTGCATTTAATCTGCACCAATGATCCAATAAAAACATAATTGATTAATTAAATTAATAACTTATTAGATGTACTTACAATTTATTAATATTGTTGGACTTGATAAACTTTGGATTGATGCATCAGTATTGTCTGAATGTCGTAGAAAAAAAAATTACATTATGAACGAATTGTAATTTGCAATTACCTAAAGTCAATAAATCAAAAAAAAAAAATATATACAGTGACGGAAAAAAATACAGTTTACACGTTACAATTAAATTATTATTACAGTTTAAATTTGGTTTGTCTGCATAAAAATGAACAACATAATGTGAAAATATCAAAGAACCACATACAATTTATTTTTATCTACCTATTCGGTTATTACAGTTATAAACATGTATAGCGTATTTATTGTTCGAAGAAAATATCAAATAAAAAGTTTTGAGAAATTGTAGGATAAATGAGTACAATAATAATAATTTAATATAAGGAGCAGTGTGGCGCAGTATTTAAACTCAGTTGCTTACGTGCTTTGAGTGTACGTACCGCCCAGTATTGCTCCCTTCCGGATGGTCACCCAGTCGTGATTTTTAGCAACAAGTCCTTGTCACACAAATATAAACACGTGTTCAAAATTCCCCCCCCCCTCCCCCAGGAATCGTGTAGAAACTTACAATCATCAAATGGCCAATGTAATGTACCTATACCTAATGAAAAAGTATTTAATTCCTGTATGAGGCATCCACAATAGATATACCTCCCGCTAACAGAGAGTATGTTCTCTGCTACATGTAAAGATTGTCAAATAGTTACGAAATTTAATAATATTAGTTTTTACCACAAATTGTCCCTCTACATGACTTCTTTCTTATATCTCAACATTTCGTCATATAATCACAATACAAGGCATTGCACATTTGCACTAACTGTATGGCTGGGACCGAAACTATCATATGGTGCGTAACCTAACCTAACCCCGAAGTGTAACCTTAAAATTGATTTTCTAAATAAATATTATTTATATTCATATATTTATTTCATCCTACCTATTATTTCTATTTTCTTTGATTTAACTAGCGAATATCATACTTTCACACCAGCTGAGAATAGTCGGTAATTCATTTTACATTCTTCCGCTACCAGTCTAAATGTGTAATTTGAATAATTTAAAACAAACAACAACTATACATAATAATATTTAAATTGTTATGCTGCCATGAACGAATTATCTATCTATTTTAAATTCCTAATCAATATTACATGTATATGTATCAACAATCAATTATGCAATCAAATAATCAATATTATCAGTATTGATCGAACGAAGAGTTTTTACTTCCAAAAAGATAGGGTATTATGTAATAGGTATATGCTCATATTGAATAATCGTAATAGACAGTTTACTAAACTACAACACGATACCTACACGAATGACAAGATCTTGAATCCTGAATAAAACAGAAAAGTAAAATCAATACTGTAAGACGACTAAAAATCGAATGCACTAGATCAAAGAATTTGGTTTTCTAATGGCAAAACAAGATTCACCAATATATTATGTGAAACCTACGCAGCGGAGTAACCTTTACTATCCAACAAAATGGCACATGTACCTAACCGGAAGAAATGGACAATTAATGCATAATACTTATTTTTATGAAAAAACTAAAAAGACAATTTTCAGTCTGTGATAAAAAAAAAAAACAACGGTATAAACTGCGTGTGGGAATTACAATGGTTGTAGAATGGGCCTCTAGTGAGTGACATAATTAATTCAGATTGAAATGTAAAATAAATATAGCACCTTGAATGCGGTTCTGGGACCGGATCCCTAAAAAAACTGAAGCGTTAGGTTAAAAAAAAAAACTTAACTGTACGACACATCAATCTAAAGAAAACAATTATGTTATAAAGAAATAAAAAAAAACTACGATCACTTTTTAAGGTTCTTAAAGTTGAATCATTAACTTCACAGACCACCAACATTCAGCTGGTGAATAAAGTTAAAATTATTAAGGAGATTTTTGTATTATATAATTCTTAATAGTACTATGTTTTATGCTTCTACCCTTAAATGTTATCGGATTTACCTCGGTTTTGAGTCGAGAAGATTACCAAGCGTGTCGCAGATACCTATACGCTAGTTTTTTTTTTTCACAGCAGAATATTACTACAATCAATGGGATGTAAAAGCGTAGTATTAAATCGAAAAATAATTTGTGGTTTGTGTTGTAAGTGGTACCTACGTATTAATAACCTATATATAATTTTTTTCCTAAATTATTGTCCAATACGAGGAAAATTTAATACAATTTATTGTTTAAATACAAGCAACTTATTTAGCTGCTGTTGTACGCAAAATGTAATGAAAAATGATAAGAGCATAATAATTGTAAAGTGTAGTATTGCCAGACACGAGCTACATGAAATTTAATATCATAATATGAATAGCACGTATATACGTTAAAATATAAGGTAATAGACAAAGAAATGAGAATATATATAGGTATATTGAAATGTTTTTAGTTTAGATGTAATACACTATTGATTATTATAGACATTGGTTTGAATATAAATATGAGATATTCTATAGGTGTCATTGTGTCAATGTGTCATACTTACTGGAAAGTGATAGTAATAATATAAAAAGATAATAATGTTATCGTGATGATATAGAAAAAAACATGACGTCGATTCAATATAAAACGGTATTGTTTGGCTTTAAAAATGTTTTAACTAAACGTGCTGATAGTGAGTTTCTAGACAATTTTCAAATATATGCATATTCTGTTTATGTTTATTAACATTTATTTAAAATTTGATTGCAGTATTCCGTCTAATATAATATACTACATTAGGAATACAGTTGTCACTTTATTTATTAATTACTACTATTTGTACAGTGGCCAATATTCACACATCGTTATACTATTTATTAAACAGACAAAAGTACAAAAAAAATTTAAATCATGAAAAATATGGTAATTCGAACCTATAGTTATAGAGCAAATCACTAGTACCTACTTATATTTCACATAAAATTATCATAAAAATAAACGCGTTTACCAATTACCAAACATTGAAATAATTAAAACCGAAAGAAAAGGGCCCTAATTCCTAGCACAATAATTATGCACTTACACTAAATACTGATTACGTTATTATTATTATTATTATTATTGCGGTATATTAAACGGTTTTCACAAATATTGTAATTCGTAGTCGTGTAGTAGCGTCGTAACTGCTATCAATAATAATTCCAACGATTCTCGGTAAAAGTATGAAGAAAATTTCCTATAATTCGAATAATATTATAATATAGTAACATAATATTAAAACGATAGAATTCGTGTTGTTGAACACGTGTTACCTACGACTACTACGCGAGACGACCTTGTAGAGTAAAAAACAAACAAACAAAAATCGGACGAAAAACACGAGTAGGTACATCACATGGTACATATATTACATAATATCTCATGTCAACACTCTTTACACCATTTGTATATTATTGTGTGTCTGGTTGAAGAGGTAACTCTTAGCGATTAAAAGCTGTGTATCTACTTTACGAGTGTGCAGAGAAACGATCGTTTAGATCAACTCTGCGAAAACAAGGGTAGGTAATAATATTAGTCGTGTGTGTGGATGATAGTAATCTTATTATATTTTTGAGCGACAGTAATATAGGTATAGGTCGAACTATTATACACGTCGAAATTCAGTCAAATAGATTATATTATTGTATTGCTCTGACGGCGAAGGTTAAAAATAATATCATAATATTATGAATACGATAATATGGTAGGTATGCTGTGTCGATCAGTGGTGTACCCTGGTCGGGGGGAGCCAGAAACATGTTTAAGCATTACTCATAATATTATTTGATTTTGCTATTGGATTCTCAATGGTTTTTATAAAATGATGAATTTAATAATATTTACATCTTCCGCAAATGTCTTACAGGTACGCCACTGGTACGTCAGTATCTGTGTTGTGATACGACCACTAAGAAAATGTAAACGACCACTCGACGGAGAGCGGTGTGAAAACGGACTGTGACGTACACTGGACCAGAAGAGACCGAAAGAATCCCAAAAACCGGTCAACAGGATAATACTTATTAATTATATTATAGACAACGGGGAAAAAAAAAATAATATTATGATTGTACGTACCTACCTCTACGAAATTAAATACTATGCGTATCGCATGTTCACGAGGAACGTCATGAAAATAATATTTTATCTGGGTACCTATATATACTCGAGTAAATTACGCTGTAATTATTTTTATGTACCTGCAGTAATTATAATCACGTGGTTTCATCGGTATTTTATATTTTTTTTATTAGCAAATTTGCTTTGTAAGCTCGTCGTTTTCATAGTACCACTATACATCATAATAATATTATAATTAATATTGCATTACACAGATATGCAATGAGAACAAGTAAGTATAGTTAATAGTAACTACTCAAATTTATATTACTGCAAATAAGAAGTTTGAATATAACATAGAACGAAGGTATACTTATTATATATATATATATATATTGCAAAATCATACCATTATTTTGCATTTAACATTTGTAGCTATTTGTACAAGGGGTGATTATCTATATGAATGCGCGAAGGCGAAATACAAAATTTCAGTAAATTATTATACTCGTGAGAATTTATTTACTCAGTTTTAAATCAGTTACCTACGTAGCTACGGATCACTTTTTACAACAGAAAACCTCGAATTCATAGAGACGTATGTTACTACCTATATGACCAAATTTTTTTTTGCAGAACTTTTATTGTTTTAAAGTCTTATTGTTATATTTATTCGTACTTTTTTTTAAATCATACAAAAATTGACACTGTGTTGTGGATGAAACAATTCTTTTTTACCTGATGTAAATCAATAAAAGGATTATATTACTCGAGTAGGTGTATCTAAAATGCATGTTTATATGCGACTAAGATATCAACTTATCTAATACACAATAATTGAGTAGTTTTTGTTTTTGTTTGTTTGAAAACAATATTCCATGTAACTATGTAAGACGTTCGGTTATTAAAGTAATAGAAAAATTCTGCGATACAAATCTTTAAACCGAAAAATTATATTATAGGTACCTATGTATGAATGTATTTTTTAATAACTAAATGAATATTTCTTCTTTTAAAATTTTAGTGCAGGCTAGATACAAATTGAATTAAAAATATTTACGAGTTCTTCTTTATTTTTCATGTTTCTCGTAAGACGAGTTTTTAAAATGAGTATTTACATATCGATGAAAACGAAAAATATCTTACCTATCTATACACCTAACATCCAATGTTAAAATAATTTGGTGAATCTTTGGCATTTCCGCATGTAGGTATATAGATAGTGTCATTCATGATTGTTAATATTATCTTAAACTATTACCTTAGTTATTATCGGATATAATATTCGATCATCGGTTATTATGATGGTAAAAGCTTGCTGCGACGAAAGCAATTTGAAAAAAATGTAAACGGACTTTGCAATATTCGAAACTGTCACGTCGATTCAACCGGTCGCCGAAACACACTAACTCATGATATATATCTGTGTGACTAGGTACTCGCACAGCGTAACAGTCGGTACTTAAGTGAACATATTGTACACTGTTCTTCGAACATTGTACTCAAGGACTAATGCATCTACACGCATATACTATGTAGCTACTTGTTAACTGTGAAAGTGTATTGCATGCACGTCGATTACGACCAATAAAACAGCGATATTCGTTTACAGTAATAATAATAATTATATTATAATATGTTTAAAAAAAAAAAAATAATTAAAAAACACATACACACATAATATTATGCGATATATCTATATATATATATATATAAGTAAAACAAAGTACAGCGATTATTTACAATATGTGAAATGGGTACATAGTTGTTAGGAAGCATTATTATAATAATATAGGTATATGTATCTGAACACGTCGTCACGAATGTGTCACGTCGTTGTCACGAAAGCTATATACCTATATAATATTATTCTAAATAAGACAAAAATAAAAAAACTTAAATATTAATAAATTAATAAATTAATAGTAGAAATATTAGGTATGTTGTCGATAGAGGTATGCGGCGATTTATTATAATATACAATGTAGTATCCGGATGTCCGCAGACATCGCGGCGCACTAGATGAGATGAACAATAATAATATTATAATGCGCACTAACAAACATAATAACACGTAATTTGGGGTACCTATATCCGTGCACATTCCGGTGAATAATATAACTATAAACACCTTATTCGTAAAAAAAAAAACAAAACAGAAAAATACGAAATAATAAATTAATATTTTAACAAAATGTAATAAATTACTAAAACTCGAATAAAATAAAATAATAATATAATATGTAGGAAGTAGGTATACCGTCCTAACGAATAGTGTGTACGATCGAGACACGAATTAACAACATTGCCGACCACGGTGCGGGTACTGAGATGTTGCGTAATATTATTGTCATTGAATTTTTGAGAAAAAAAAAATTGAAATGCGATTTTTCTAATTAACCGTTCGCGTTTATAACGGATTTAGGTAGGTAGGTAATGTGTAAAGAACGGCCACTGTCTAAAACACATCTGATATTTTAGACTAGTCGTCGCTAATTATAAAAACTATAGGAACATTTTACATAGTGTTAGTACAATAAACATTAAAATAATTAATAGTAATAATAATAATAATAATAATAATAATAGTAATATAAATTAAAGTTATATACTTAATTGTCAATCGACACACTATTACGTAAATGCATGAACATTATTATATAGTATTCTGTCCCTCCACCTCAACAATATAATAAATAATATATATAACACGAAAAAAAAAACTACAATTGGGTTTGAAGTGCAGTATATATGTCATTTGAAAAGAAATCTGTGTGTGTGTGTGTGTGTGTGTGTGTGTGTGTGTGTATGTCTTGTGCGGACCTAAGACGAAACGGACACGGATCGAAGACGTGTTACTTATACTTGTGAAGTGTTGTGATTTCCCGGTGGCTTTATCGATGTTTCGTTATGTTAATAAAAATTGTTTGTGCACACAGAAAACATTGCACGTAGCATATCATATTATACAATAATATTATACGTGTATACAGGGTGAAGTTTTCAATCGTAAACAGGTTAATGTGTTATCTGGCTATTGCTGAGTAGATGTATTCATTTACTTTCAAGTAAATATATAGTAAAATAAATATGCCTATTATAAACCATAAGATTAAATTACAAAATAAAATAGTGCAAATCGCTTAGATTATAAGCATGGGCGAAGACTTAAGATTACCGTAAATGATATTGTTTGTTTGGTAGCGTGGATGAGGTTTATCCAAGCAAGTCTCTCTTTTATTTATTTTGCGCCAACGACCCAAAATAAGATGTTTCAGAACCACCCTGTGCACAAGTATAATATATTAAGATTCGACGTGTCCGCCGTTGATCGCCACCTGACACCACCCCCCGTTAGTCCGGGATCTCGGTGGTCGTCGACTTCAGCTGCAAATTCCGCTGGATTATGCTTTGCGGAATTATTTGGTCGCGGAGCTCGTGTCCGTCTCTGGACAGACTTCCGGGTACGGTGCCGTTGTTCCGGTGCTGCCGGCTACCGTGCCGGATCCGGTGCTGCAACTCGGTGGCCTGGTCTTCCTGTCCCTCCGGCAAATAGGACGACGAGACCGCGACTCTGCCGCCCACCTGTTCGAACGCGTTCTTCGCGTACTGGTAAAGCAAGGCGTTGTTCGCCTCCGATTCCGGTACCTCAACCGTGGTAACGTCCATTATCGGATAAAGGTGCATGTTAAAGCTGAGCGCTAGCGCGTCGGTGTTACTGCTGTTGGTCGTGGCGGTCGGGTTGCGGATCGGTACGCCGTAACCGTTGTGCACCGCCTCCATCAGGAACCCGGGCACTGGCTTCGGGGTCACTGTAACATTTCAGAAGAGTCATATTATTAAATGGATACAATAATTATGTGGAAAAGAGTGACGCGCTCAGTGTGACCTAGAGTGTCGCACAATATTAAAGCTGTGAACGAGATAAACCGTTTTGAACAACACACTAATTCGTTTTCTTAGTCAAATGTTGCTGTTTTTTTAAATATATAATTTTTTTAATTACTTAAATAAACAGACTAAACATCAATAATATGATTCAAATTATTTTTCGTTTTTTGTAAAAAAAATAGAAATATGACCAATACCAATAAGGGATAATAAAAATGTATTTTTATTTTAAATAACAAAAGTTGACTACGAAAATTATTGCAGTCTTCGTATTTACAAAAAATAATATTTTTATATCAGAACCAAAAAATATAGAACCAATATTACGGTCTATTTTTTTTTTTTGGTTTACTAATAATTTATTATGATTGCAAAATAAAAAAAATTATTACTCATTTGTGCGTCTCCTGAACAGTTCATGGGTCTAAAAAATTTGGCGACGGGAAGCAAGTTGCCATCTTCGTCTTCAACTTCAATACTGATTCCGTAATTACGAACTGGATTCCTATGCCAAGCTTTTACTGCGTTACGAATGTTCCATTCCGTCCATTTTTCGCTGTAATATGGTACCATGCGGCTGTCCAATAACTTCCTCTTTACTGTTAAGTAATACATTTCGTAAGTTTAGAAGTGAATAACAAAAATACTCATTAATAAATGCGTTACCTCTCTTCCTCTTAAGTGATCTGGTGTACGAGTAAATTGATACGCGAACCTGTCTCTCGTCCATTATTATCGGTACTACACCGGTTGTAGACAAATTACTGTTGGACTGCTTCAAAGTTTCTACAAATAATGACGGCTGACATGGTTGAGAATCATCGGTCTATTGATCAATAAATTAAAAAAAAATTATACACCAGATTTTCAAACAATAAAAATCAAATTTATCTATACATACCTCATTACTCGATAGTGAATAGCAAGATACGAATTGTTTGTACAGCCTGAGTCTAGCCATATTCACGTTTACTGTGATACCCTTAGACGACTTGGGTAAACTAAAATTGAACATTAAATTCATCGATTCCTTCGTGTTCCAAACCTCTTCATTCGTGTGCTTCGGCAAATCACCTGCGCATAATTAAAATCATTAAATATTATATCACACGTTGTACTGTGATGGTTTATGGTATTAAATTATAAATTTAACTTACATGAAGGATAAAAGCTTTGCGTTTTCTCAGTAAACGTGTCAGATGGATAAGTTGGAAAGTTATTCAAATTGTCGTAAAATATTCTTATGGCGTCTTTTTGTGCCATAGGTATTATTGAATTCGGGTCCGTTTTCATCATTGGGCTCGGAGAGAGTATTTGGTTATTCCTTCCCATAAAGCTGATCATCTGATTGTGAATGGTTTGAATTCTGAGATTTTTGTCTCTATAATAACAAAGCAAAACACTTATTAAACCGTGTTTGGTTTTATGCAATCGATAAAACAACAACAAAAACAACAACAACAACAACAATAAAATCAAAGAAAACGATATAGTATACTGGTAAGTTGGTAACTATTAGGTATTAATAACAATAATAACAACAATAACAATAATAACAACAATAACAATAATGGCACAATATCTACGGTTGATAACAGTTAACACAAAACATAAGGTTAGAGGGGAATTAATACAATCACAAACACACACACACTTACGACGTCGATGAATCAACATACCTGACCTCGGGATCTGCGGACTCGGGGCTGTGAATAAACAAATTTCATTGGAGTATGAGCGATTAAATTAAAAATTAAATGCAAGCGTTGTTATGTGGATATATAATTTTTGAATACACAATAATATCCAACTCCAAATATTTTCACCATGTTTGTACGATATGACGTGAAAAATTATTAATCTCCACGAGCAAATATAAATCAGATATGAAATATTAATGGTCACGTTTTAAGCTCTGTCTGGGAAACCAAGGTCGGAGATCGTGTAGACGGATCCCATTAAACGAGACCGTCGCGCAATTACCGGCTGCAAGAGAACAAGTCAGATTTATTGTAAATGCACCTCTTTACTTGCGTGTACTTTGGGTTTTTGATTTTTTTTATTTTTATTTTTATTTTTATTTTTTGTCTCGATTTATTAACCGGGTCACAAACGAAACCAAAAACGAAAAATAAAAACCGAAACCAACTAAACCTGTAATCGTTTAAAAAACGCCCGAGCAGACGCATTAAAATCTGTCTGGAAATGCAGTCGTCAAGTGCATTTCCCCCTAAATTTCGGTTTAAAATAAATAAAAACATAATGGTCCAGACGAATAAATTAAGTAGCCGAGACGAGAAAAAAAATTAAATCGTACACACGCGTAATCGTCAAACATTACCTGTACCTACGGTGTACACTGCAGCACGTGTACCCAACATAATTTTGTAATTTGGAGAGCGTTAGGGTCTCATTAAAAAATAAAATAAAAATAAATTTCGCTTAAGACCGATTTTTATTTAATAACTTCAATCCATCAGTCTACATTTATATGTAACAGTTTTTTTTCGTGTTAAGAGGAACATTTTTTTACCTTGCACCTATTCTTTATGTATTTAAATTATCTGTGTTCTTATAATTATATGCGTATAGTTTTTTCTACAATCTACATGACACATATATTATAGGTATATAAGTACTATAATAATACCCTTTCTTCCCTACTACAATAATTACTATACGGTTTTTTTTTTTGTTTTGGATAACTAGAAAATTTGAATATTTTCTAACATCTTATGATTTTGAAATCGGTAAATTAGATATTCCATTAGATTGTGTTGCAACGGAAATCGATTTTGGGTATCAACCAGACATACAATTATTTATGAATAATGCACAAACTTAAAAACAGTAATGTTGCTGATCCGGATGTTTTAGGTTTTAGATAGAATTAATTTACGAGTTTCCATTTAAATTGAATTTACATAATCCATTTTCTTTTGGCTTATATTTGTAATATTTGTGTACGAGACTAAGATAGTAACACCTAGTTTTTATTATTTTATCTTTCAAAAAACTAGAAGTGTTGTACTAGTATAAGTACACATGTTAGTAGAACAATAAAGATGAATAGAGGCATTTTTTTAAAAAAAAAGTCGAATTAATCTTTTGTTAAAAATTATTAAATAACTATGTAAAATAGTGTTGTAAGTTTCCTAATGTGTACCCATAAGACATTTTTTTTTACGAAAAATAACTGAATGGTATGTACCAACATACATAGATACTAAATTACTAACTAATATACGATTGATTTTTATAGTTATTTTAATCCTACTTTCTAGACTCTGGTATACAAGAATATTTTATGTTTTTATGGAAACTATGTGTAATTATAAGTAAATTCATGAGTAATAAACTAATAAACTATGACTACCTGATAAGTTACATGATATGATTTTGAAACCAGATCGAAAAAGCATTTTGAAACACGCTCGTTTTATTTAGCAAAATGACTAGACAAGTACGTTCGGAACTACGTTTAGACGTACCTATAGGTACAATATATTTCAATCGTACAATTGTATTATTTGACTGTTAAACTGAAGTAAATCAATAATTGACTAATATTAAAGGATATTATTATGTTTATTACATATTTAATTTTAATAGTTTAAATTGTTAATAATTGATTATTGATCAATTTTTATTAACAATCTTTAACCACATTTTTATTGTAATTATCTTTAAAATGTTTTGTTTCAAATGTAATTGTATGGAATATATATACTTAGTGGTCAACTTGTTTATATTTTTTATAAACAGATATTATTGAATTGACCATAATATGTTTTAATATTTAATAAGAATTGTTTAATGATAATAGTTTATACAACAGTATTGTCTAATATATTCGTGACTAGATTTATTTTTGAACATATTTATAAAATAAATAAATAATTAACACTATATGTAATTTTTTATATATAAACTTTTTACATTTAAAAATTTGAATTTCTATTATATATATATATTTTTTTTTTCTATATTTCTTATTCCTACAGAGTTTACCAGTTACAGTTTTCTATATCAAGTGCATATTATTAAAATATATTTATTCAATTTTACTTTTAGGAATTAATAGTATATTATAATCCTAGTAAGTTTGCCTTTCTTCAAATCAAATTAATTTCACAGCCTTAGTAAGTTTACATTATTTTAAAAGAAATATATTGTTTGTTTGCCTTGAAGTGGTATAAGTACTACACACAATCGTGAATCATTTTTGTTGACTGTCCAACGTTTATTTACGTATAATATATATATATTATGCGCATTTCCCTTTTAAACTTTTCTAAATTTTTTCTACTCATATATCGAACTCAGCTCTTGTTTTTTTCACGAGATTGCCGGGTCACGCCCAGATAGGTTTTGCTCTAAATTTAGTATGTCCGATGTACACACGGGCCCACGTATGATCAAACTCGCCGTGTTTACGGCAAACCGAAAACTAAATAGTGTAAATTCCACGGTTCGTTAAAGTTTTTTAAATGGATGCAAGCACAATGTTTTAAATGAACGTAACCCGTCACCGTAAATAAAGTTTGATTCCGTCAAGATGACAGGCGAAATAAAACTTTTTCCAACGAGGGTGATGCCGGTGACGGTACACTGGTAATACGCCAATAAACGTATTAACTATAATAATAAAATTGAACCACACACGTGGAATATGGGTCGTGAAAATAGTCGTAATGTTCTATTCATAGAATACGAAAAATGGTCGGACGATCGTGAATAAGACGCTTTACGGAATTAGATTGCCAGAGCTGTATATATATACATACGAGGTAGGTCTGGTGTGCGACTACTATGGAGGCCTTTTATAAAGAAATCCAATATTATCGTTTGTCGATACCTGCCAAAAAAAACGTTAATTCTAAAATATCTGATGCCCTTAAAAAAATCTCAAATGTCGGTACATCGATGTAAATCCTGAAATCCAGGCTAAATCCAGTACTGCGGTTACCCTGCAGTTACCCTATTATACACATAGTACAAATACCATATAAATATTAACCGTAACCTACACGCTAGAATAACAATATAACGGCAGCAACGAATGTAGCAACGTACGAACGCATCATAAAAATATTTAAATATGTAAGTAAACAGTGAAACTTCTACACGACGAGCTTATTCATTTAACGAAGTTTTTTTCATTTAATGAAATATTTTTAAGAACCAAATTAGAACCCAATAGATTTAATTGTATTTTACGAATTTCTCTATACCTAGTATAAATTTTTTTATCCAATGATACATCGTTACATTGTGGAACATTTTTTCACTGTATAACAATAATACCCCGAATTGTGGACCACGTGTAGTAACCCCACGTGTCAAAACTTCCCCCCGAGAAACTTGTCTTATACATATATATGTATATAGTATACATGTAATTATACCAACATATATGCGTTATAATATTACAATATTACCTTTCTCTGTGCGACATTTCGTCGGTGTAATCGTCGGGCATCACTGTGGCTCGTCCAAAAGTGGCCGGCGAAGAAGAGTCCTGCGGATCGTCTGCCGACGGCATGTCCCCCATCATCATGTCCTGGTCATCGCTAGGGCCGGGTTCGGTTTTAGTTCCGGCCTGCAGTCCCGTTTCCAGGGCCTGTAGGTCTCGATCTGACATTTTTAGCAGCTGATTGTTTAGCATCCTGGCGAACGGCGAATTCGGATCGGTGAGCTGGCGTATTGGAAACATGACGACCGAGGGTTCGGGCGATTCCACGGACTCTTCTATTTCCGGTTCTCCGGAGTCGGTGGCGGGCCGAGATTGCACCACTGCGGTAACCGCCCACAGCAAGACCATGGCTACCAGTAACCGCGGCGTCAGCGTCATCGTGACGATCGTCTTCGACGTGCTATACGACGGAGGTGCTGGTTATGGTAATATTATGTCGTCGAACGACAAAAAAATATTGTAACGAAATATCACTAAAACGTTCTACTCCGGCAGCAGTGTGGATGAGACAGAGGACGAAGTAGTCGGAGAGGGAGTGAGTGAGAGTGAGCGATAGAGAGAGCGGCGTGTCGGAAGACCGTCAAAATCGGTGCTTTCGAAAAATTCGTGCGGCGTAGTCTCGAGGGCGCTTATGGGGCTCGGGGTGGCGCCGGCAAACGAAAACGCGATAGATTCGTAACTGAAAAATTCGAAAAAAGAAACACAAACACGAATGTTGTATCGCAGTGGTTATTGTGTCGCTGTCCGTGTGTGGCTTAGGCGATTGCACGCGTTGTTCTGGCACTTGACGTCGTTCTGGCGCTTCGCGTCGTTGTCGTCGTCGTCGTTCGAAGACGCGTGAGTGTCGTGGCGGCTGGGTTGTGTACCCCGTGAGCGCGAGAGCATTGGCGTGTGTGTGTAAAAATCGTGTGTTTAGTGTTTACATTTATACACCGCGCCGCCGCCCCCGCCACCGTCGCACCACCACCCTTGGACACGGCGGCGCGCGTCTGTTCGTCGCGTACATTATACCTACGTGCCGCGCCGCGCTTCCTTCTTCTTTTTTACGTCTCCTGTTTCTTCTTTTTCTTCTTCTCCTTGTCTTTTTCCTCCTCCTCCTCCTCCTCCTCATCCTCCTCCTCCTCCTCCCCTTATTTCTTCTTCTTTTCCTCAATTTTCTTCTATACCTACCACTTCCATGTAAAACCGATATTGCGTCTTTTTCTTTCCTGATATAAGCCGCCACCTATATTTTACCTATACTATTATTTATTATTATTATTATTATTATTATTATTATTATTATCATAATCATGATGGTCATTGTTATACATTTTAACATTGTTGAGTCTGGATAGACTCTATTTCAATCAATTACCAAGGTGTTGTGTGAGGAACTCGTGGTACAATAATGTTTAAACTTATAGAACAAGTATTGGTTTGACCAATATTACATCGACATTGTCATTAATTACAAGGCAGAGTAGTTTGGTGATTGTTGTTTAATTATTTTGTAGGTTTCAATACGTCATAGTAAGGAACTAAAGCGTTTCTGTTTTAATAAATTCCGGTGTTAACTATTTTAAACTTTTGTTTAAGATATTAGATTATGTATTTTATACATAACTTATTTCAGTTTTTAAAATCAAAACATAATATCTACACTTATAACAATATGAGTATACGTATATATTAAATGTATATGGTACTGGCTACTGGATACAACTACTTATTAGTATTTATGTTGGTAGTCATTAGTTAAAAATAATACCATAATTTGTTTGTATTTTACTATTAATTTATATTTATTTATTAGATTTAAATCTTGTAAATTAACATTTAAGATCAACTTAAAAATAAGGTACTTATCGGTTATTGCGACTACCGTTAAAATTATAAAAAAAAAACTATTATAAAAATGGAAAAACTGTAATTGTAAAAACTAGAAATCATTAATAATTCAAGCTAGGAGGAAAATGCTAAGACATACAATTTAAAATTCCTATAAATGGACTTTTATGCTTTTGACGCCACATGAATCCAACCAAATAACTATCCAAATGTTGATGAGCAGTGCCTCTATGTTTTTTATTGCACCATTTAGAAGATCCCCATAACCTTTCGATATTCTGTGTGTAAGCACCAGTTTGAGGATCCACAAAATTATAAGTGTGGTTAACGGTTAAATGTTGAAACCCACCATTCTGTAATTCATTTGTTTTATAACCACGCCAACAATCAGGATACATAGTTGTACCTTGGTTTATATTATCTTTTATTGTTTGTATCAGTGTAGACGCAGACCTATCTTCGACTTCAACTAAAAAACATTCCGTCGTTTCCCGACAAATGCCCCCAAATATCTATTGTTGAGGTAAAACTCTACCAGCATTATTTTTACATCTTGTAAAAAGATTTTCGTCGATTTCTACTATTTTTCCTGGACCACCAATTTTCACTTTACGTCTTTTTAGGAACCACCCCCAAGTAGTTAATTTTTTTTTTACTATACTATTTGTTAACTTAAAACAACCCTCAAGAAGAAAGTTTCGTGTTCGTCAAAAGGTTTCGTGATTTGATCCCAGTATCCGAGTCTGTGTTAACGCTCCACGAGACAGTAAATTATTAGAAACCTATATAACAGTATTTTGTAGTAAAACAGTATATAAGCTAATATATTTTATATTTGATACTCAATGAGTCTAATCTACAAATAAAGGAAAACATATGACGATCGAAACACGCTAAGATCAATTTAAGCTCCAGACTTCATTTAACAATAAAGCCTGTCCATCGCAAGTTAGGGATTGCGAGGCTGCAGGTGCCACTCGTACTCGTTAAAAAAAAAATATAAAAAATATGTAATAATATGTTCAGGTACAAATGGTACAATGAATTGAGCAAGTACAGCGATTGTCGGTATTATAATGTGATAATATAATATATTCTGTGATATCGTATTCTCTCGTCGCTAATGGACTTAATTAGTTTCATCAACGTGTGCGTTTTGATGATAAGCCGAAATCCTTGTTTTTTCAATAATTATATCTGAGGGCGACGGCGGCGACGACTCGGAGTCTCCAGTATATCGCGCCGACCGCGCTCCGTTCACCCACCCGTCCACAGACTCGGTAGTAGGTAGACCACATGCCGCCACCGCCGTGTTCTTATCGAGTCGGCGGTTTCGAGATGGTGGTGAAAAAAATTTCCCCCGATTATTCGACCAGACGTCAGGATACCGGGCGACGAGACACCAGACACGCGAAGAGGACGATGATGTATTATAATAATGTTATTATTATTATTATTATTATTGGCGAGACATAATTTATATTATTATAATGTATAATGTGTATCGCGTATTGTCACGCGAAAACAACAATAAACGCACGTCGGCAAAAGGATGTAGAGCGGGTGTAGAGTTTCGTCTTCTTCAATTCGGTTTCAATGAAATACCGGTCACGGTGCATTAAATAATAACACCAACACGTATACCATGTATAGGTAGTCTACAACTGGAGTTTAAATCATATTATTATTAGTATTATTATATTACGAGCGCGCCCTTCGTGTGAAATTCATCACACACGAATAACGATATTTTTAGTATTCGTGGACATTCTTGAGACTGTTATGTATATTTTGTATTCTGTTTTGCTGCTCAGTGCCTCGGTGGATATTGTAAAATATATACTATTAAAAACCATACCATATATTTCACAATCGACAGTAAATAATATAGTAAAATGAGACTGCTACCTATGTACATGAGAACACTTAAGTTGCTAATCGGACCGTCAATAATATAGCTATACGCATGTAACTCTTGAGTTGATGCATATAATTTAATAGTATGAGTAGGATAAAAAAAATTAAATGTATCTCTAAATGTTTTAATAAATACGATTTAATTCTAATGAAAATATGTTATATTTTTCAAGGTAATAAAAAATTACTCAATCGATAAAATACTAAATAATCTTAATAGATTACTGCAAAATAACAATAAAAAATAATTAATATACCTAGGTATGTAGAAAAGTCACAAGAGTGTATTACATTGACATATACTTGTATATTATTGTCAACTAATTATAATTGGACTCCTTGATTAAACGCCATATACGCACGTATATACTTACCTTAAAAATAAAATTACTATTACGATTGAAATTTAAACAATTTGAATTTTGATTAAGAAATGTTTAAGAAATCTCAACAAATTCAATGAAGAGTAAAATAACATCGAATTACAATATAACTTTTTATAATTTTTCATTGCAATCAATATTCAATGTATATGAAGAAAATTAATTTTACTTTTCATTGCAAACAAAAGAGGTATATTTGTTGATGAAGTCTATTTTAATTTTACATTGGTTTTGATAATTTTTAAAGTATTTGCAACGTAACTTGTGTGTTATCATTCATCATAATATGTTCTTGTTTCAAAATAACTAATCTGCGAATTATTGTTTTCATACACCTGTGGGTTAAACTTGCAACTACTGCCGAAATGGTTAATGTTTTGTGAAGCTGTTTTGTTATATCTCAATTTATTATTCTTCAAGTGCATAGTTAAAATTGAATTTTAACTAACTTTATATAATTATGGATCTGATAAAACATAATATTCTAAATACACTGTAATTTCAATAAATCTTATTAGTTATAGTAATAGTCTTCTTAGGTATCTATGAATTTGTTTTATTTATAAATAACAAATTAAATAATACGGAAGAAAACTGAATTAACTATCATATGAATATATTACATTAAATATTTATTAGATTCCATGTTAAGCTCACCAAATTTCATAATGCAGGGAAACATTATTTTCGAGTAAAATTGGCACTAATAAGTTATCTTTTTAACAATAATTATATTCATTATTCATTAAATACACTTAAATATGTATATTTTAAATTGCATGAATTCTAATTTGTTATTATTATTTAGATATCAACAGCTCATTTTAATACACTAAAAAAATATTATATTCGTAAATATACGATTATAAAATGGAAACTCAGAATTATATGATACATTAATACATTAAGATATTCTTAATCTATATTGTGTATACGCCCCATCACCCTATGTATATATATTTGTATATTACGTGTTTGTTAATACACATATTATATTATATGATATTATGATGAAATACGTACGTTTCGGTGTATGAAGCTTATAATATAGATAGCAAAATAAAGTAAACAATGTCCCAATATGAGATAAGTATTATGTATATACTCTTATATAATAAAATACAGATATATAAAAGAATTATAAACTTAATACATAAAATGTAAAACAACATTTAAATAATTAAAAATTTCAAAAAATAAAATTATTAAATATTAGGTTTATTATTTTTTGTGAAATTTCAAACAATTTAATGAATTTCTTTAAATATCTCTTAAAAATATAATTGAATTGCTGTAATGCAATAATTATCTACTGATGTCTTGCATATTTGTTTAATATAATATATATATAAATATAATATTATGTCATACATTTATAACTACAACTATTCAAATATTAATTTATATCATTATACATGCAATTATGTCAACATCATTAATCGAAGTTGCTTACCTTAAGTTTGCTTAAATTTTGATTTAAGGATCAACATTCCGTAAAATTATATCAATTAAGAAGATGTCAACGCACGCATCTGTTTTTTATCTCTTTGGCATTCTCGTGACATATATTATTAGACAAAACGAAATCATCTTTTTATTTTTTTGAGCAATCTTAAGCATCACCTACTACAAAAATTACAGAGAAGAATATTTTTAAGTGTAAAACATAAAATTGATTTGTCTAATTGATATTGACTCATAACAATGAAATATTCATTTAAATTTACAGTTTTAAAGTAAAAAATTAGGTTATAATAATAAAATCAATATGTAAAATCCACAAA